TCCTAGCTCAGGAAGGGATGGCTCCAGAGCAAACTAATTGATGCAGAAGCCAAATCGTTTGCTCTCAACTTTAATGCCAGTAGCTCACAAAGTAGAATTTTTGCTCACAAGACTCCACAGCTTAGTGGGAACATTGGTCAAGAGGTGCCAAACATTTACACTATCCCCCAGTGCTAGTCAGCATGTGGGTTTAGGCACTGTTCTCCAACACCACAACACTTCCTATCCCAGGACCTGGATCTAGTATAGCCACAGTGACTGGTTTGGGTATCTTTCCCTGCCCATAGATTCCTTGCTAAACTATCCAGCTTGAATTACCCAACACGTGATAATCCTTCTCCAGCCCTTAATTAAGACCTAATCAGTCTCTTCCATGACCAGGGCTATTGACATTACCTCCACCAGCACCTCCAGTAACCCTGACCACATGACACCTTCACCCATCGATGGAATGCATGGAGAAGGAGCATGGAGACATGTCTGCTGACCCTGTCTCCTGCCTCTACATGATCATTGTTGTGTCAATACAGTACCTTTAGCTTGGAGAAACGATGGGTGAGGGGTGACATGATCGAGGTTTGTAAGATTATGCATGGGATAGAGCAGGTAGAGAAAGAAGTCCTTTTCTCCCTTTCTCTCAAGACAAGAACTCTTTGTGGGCACTCCATGAAATTGCTGAACGGTCAGGTCAGAACGGATAAAAGGAAGTCCTTCTTCACCCAAAGAGTGATTAACACATGGAATTCATGGCCACAGGAGGTGGTGGCAGCTACAAGCATGGACGGCTTCCAGAGGGAATTAGATAAACATAAGGAGCAGAGGTCCATCAGTGGCTGTTAGCCACAAGGTATAGAAAGGAGCTCTCAGTCTGGGGCAAGGGATGCTCTATATTCTTGGTCCTTGGGGTGGGGGCAACAGTGGGAGGGCTTCTAGTGTCCTGGTCCCACTGGTGGACTTCCTGATGGCCCCTGGTATTTTGGGCAACTGCGTGATAGAGAGCGTTGGACTGGAGGGGCCATTGGCCTGATCCAACATTGGCTTCCCTTGTGTTCTTATGTACCAATGTATGGAAGAAGGGATCAAATATCCTCCCTGTTATCAATAGTGTTCAGAAAGCCATATCTCTGATCTCCCTGGAAGGGTGTTTGTTTCAGTTTGGTGAAGCCAGTTTGGTGTAGTGGTTAGGAGCACAGACTCTAATCTGGGACAACCGGGTTTGATTCCCCACTCCTTCACATGCAGCTGCTGGTGTGACCTTGGGTCAGTCACAAGTTGTCTCAGAGCTCTTCTCTCAAGGGCAGTTCTCGAGAGAGCTCTCTCAGCCCCAACTACCTCACAGGGAGTCTATTGTGGGGAGGGGAAGGGAAAGGAGATTGTGAGCTGCTCCGAGACTCCAAAGGGTAGTGAAGGGCAGGGTATAAATGTGATTGCTTCTTCTTTTCTTCTTAGTTTATGCACAAAATCTCTATCCCACCTTTCTGCCCTTATGAGAGCCACTAAGGCAGCTAACAATTTGAAACATACATAATAAATCACCTCCCCATTAAATTGAAAAGCAGAGTTAAAGTACATCCAAAAACATAAAAAACAGCAATTAAAACATTGATTAGGAAGTAGGGATTATTGAGGGAATGCCAAACAAACGAACAGATAAAAAAGTCTTTATGCACTGGCCAGCAGGGTGTACAGATGTATCTGGGGGACCCATAAGAACATAAGAGAAGTCAATGTTGGATTAGGCCAATGGGTCATCCAGTCCAACTCTCTGTCACGCAGTGGCCAAAAATACCAGGTGCCCTCAGGAGGTCCACCAGTGGGGCCAGGACACTAGAAGCCCTCCCACTGTTGCCCCCCCCCCCAAGCACCAAAAACACAGGGCATCACTTGCCCTAGACCGAGAGTTCCTATCTATACCTTGTGGCTAATAGCCACTGATGGACCTCTGCTCCATGTGTTTATCCAATTCTCTCTTGAAGCCATCCATGCTTGTAGCCACCGCCACCTCCTGTGGCAGTGAATTCCACCATGTTCACCACTCTTTTGGTGAAGAAGTACTTCCTTTTATCTGTTCTAATCCTTGGGCTTGTCACACTCTGTCATCCTAACCTACCTCAGAGGGTTGTTGTGAGGATAAAATGGAGGAGAGGATGATATTGTAGGTCACTGTGGGTTCCTGCTGGGGAGAAAAGTGTGGTATAAAGTATTTTTCTCTAGGCCAGTTTGGCCAAATGTTCTGGAGGGTTTTTTTTGGGTTTTTTAACTTTTTGCCATCTTCTGGGCATGGCGCAGGGGTCACTGGGGGTGGAAGGGAGGTAGTTGAGAATGCCCTGCCTTGTGCAGGGGGTTGGACTAGATGGCCCTGGAGGTCCCCTCCAACTCTAGCGTTCTATGAAATACATAAATCAAATAAATAAATGATTGAATTACATAAATAAATAAAATAAACATTCTATTTGCTGACTGACTTTATCCAGAGTGTCTACGTGCTTCTCTAGCTACTTTCCCTGTCCGATACCTTCAGAATGGGGAGGGCCAGTCAGTGTAACAATTGTCTTTCTCAAGAGCCGGTGTGGTGTGGCAATCCGAAAGTTGGACTTGGCTACAAATCCCTCCTCAACCACAAAGCTTGAGTGGTAACTTTGGGATTGTTTTTGCTCACCATGTCGCCGCGAGGATCAAATCAAAAAGGCTCAGTCCTTTGGAGGAAGGTCGGGGTAAAAAAATACATTTGAGAAAGTAATATAGAAACAGAAATGAATGCACTTTAAACAAAACTGAACACCTCAACCATTGTTTAGAGATGGGTTAGAAATGAATCACAAGATGAGCCAGGTTCCGTAGATTCCTTTTTGCCCCAGTCAGAAGAGAATGTTCATCAAACGCTCTGCCTGCCTCCCCCCCCCCCCCCCCATTCCTTCATAGATGATAGCCTTGGTCCATTTTGTCCGCGCATTTATATGACGGCACAGCACTCTGAAGCCATTGCAGTGATTTAGAAGAAGAGATTGGATTGATACCCCACCCTTCACTACCCAGGGGAGTCTCAGAGAGGCTTACAAATGCCTTTCCCTTCCCCTCCCCACAACAGACACCCTGTGAGGAGGAGGAGGAGGAAGAGGAAGAAGAAGAAGAAGAGGAAGAGGAAGAAGAGGAGGAGGAGGAGGAGGAGGAGGAGTAGGAGGA